ACCTTATCAAACCTTATCCTTAACAAACCTTATCACCTTAACAAACGTTCGAGCGGACCTCCTTATCTTCTGATGACATATGATCTTTACACCGACATGTATGCCACCAGAACCTATTATTTATATTCGTCATACAAATAAACAAAATAAAAGTTTAAAAACAGTAATGACATAACCCATTTAACACAAAAGTAGACAATAATATACTAATCTCCAAAACAATACGTGATAGCAAAATGTTTTATCCGGACTGGATTTCTCATGTAAAAACATTAAATATATTAGGATGTTATAGGATATTATTGTTTGATTACCATACTGGTATATATAAATAAATATTTTTCGTAAATTACACTTCTATTAATTCAAAAAAATACTGTATTGAAAAGAAATGAGCTACGGAATAAGTTGTATGATTGGCGCTTCTTAAACTACTCGTATAAACTCTCATTGCTTTAAATGAATCTACAATATATTAAGCCCTTCTCACGTAACATATGGGGATAATAATTCAGGCAGAATAATTTTTTTCGTTATTAATAATGGACCTTAAGCATACATTTCATTACTTTATATTTTTATATATGTACTATTGACCATAAAAAGACATTTGTTTAGTGGAAAATTGTATATAGACTTCTTAATTTTAGAGAAATGATCATAAAATTAATGTTATATCCGAGATAATCATTAGGTGCTCTATTTATATATTTATTATACTAATTGCTTTGTCTTTGTTTAAGAAACCATCGTTTCTAAACAATTGTTCAACTTATATAATTAAATATATATTTTGCGCATTAAATTTTTTCCTTAAAATCATTCTTCTTCTGTGTTTCAGGTACAGATGACGAATAAAGATATTCGTTCTGATGACGAAGAAAGAAATCACTTTCAATGAATTAAAGTCATTCCTGAGAATTAATACAAAAGAAGTCATCTTCAAATAACAAAGAAGGTTGTTGCAGAAAGTTCACAAAAATGTTTATTACAAGTCACATTCCAAGTACACCAGAATCAATACGAAGATGAATCACTAATAGATAATACGAAGGAAGATTACTGTGAGGTGCTCCCTTGTAAAGGTAGACAATCAGGGTCAGTGTTATTTTACTTAATGAGAATCTTGGAAATGATTTGTCTCCTCTATCAATTGCGAAGCTGGTGTAGTGTGGTGTGAAATATTCTCAAGCACAAGTGATCTTCACTCTTGAACCACAACCTGAAATTATATTTTGTGTCACGTATAAATTAAGCTTTACATGGGCAGAAGTAATCCAATGAATATGGGAAGTTTACGAAATGCTCCGGATTATCCTGCAACCTCCTTGATGGAACTCTCTGGCGTAGAGAATCTTTCCGAAAACGAGACAACGCCCCTGCTGCCCCCGTGGCTTTCGCGATGGCGGCGCCGCCAGCTGGAGTGCATGGCGCGCATGAATGGCTCGCAGACGGCGGCCCCGATGACAAGTGACGGCGGTGGGGGCGGGGAAGGGAGCGCGCGCTGTCCGGTGTCCTGGGACCAGGTGCATTGCTGGCCGCCCTCGCCCGCCGGCGCCCTCGCCTTCGCCCCCT